TGCTGACCAGTAGGGAATTTGTCCCTTTTTTGAGCTGTCATTTTATCATTTACTTGACTAAGATACCAGGCATCTTCAAACTCTTGGGCTGCAGCTAAAGCCACATTATTTTCATTAAAGGACAGGGTTTGATCTAACAATAGGATGACATCTCTCCAAGTGAGATCAAAGGTTTGCCCTAGACCCTGTAGGACATCTACGTACCTATCAGGATAATCTGAAAACTTCCCCAGGTCTGCCTTGATCTGCTTTAAATCAGAGAGGGAGAAGGGGACATGTACCCGGGTTGGGCCAAATTCCCCTCCTGCTACAGCTTGAAGGGGATATAACCGATAGCCTGGGGGTTTTGGTGATACTTTGGAGATTTCTTTGCTTATTTCCTTTTGGATGGGGGAGATTAGAAGAGGATTAGCATTAATAGGAAGGGGAGCTATAGGGAGGCTAGGATATGGGGGTAAGCTGAGAGGTCCTCCTGTGGGAGGTAAATGCAAGCTTTGCATAGTTGTGGATTCTCTTTTAATGAAAATAAAGCTTGGACATAAGGTATTTCACTCCATTTCCCTTCCCTCTTACAGAAAAGGTCAATCTGCAGGATAGTATTGTAATTTATATTTCCCTCAGGTGGCCATTTTTCTCCATCAGAGAGAGAATATTGGGCCAGGCCATAGTTCATAAAAAAATGAGCCATCTCTTTTTCAGGGTTTACAGGTCAAATTGGTCCCAATGGCTTAGGATGCATTTCAAGGGTGAGCCTGTTGATGCCTGAGTGTTTCCCATCTGAAAGACAAAACTTCTTGTGGTTTTGGTTTGTTTGTTTCTTTACCTGCCCAAGAACCTGCAATGGTCCCTGGACCCTGCTGCTCAGAATAGTTGCACTCACCAACACAGCAGCAGAAACACCTCTTGCCCAAGAACCCACAATAGTCCCTGGACCCTGCTGATCAGAATAGTCGCACTCATTGATGCAGTAGCAGAAACAGTAGTTTTCCTCCTAGACTACAAGGAGGACCAAGGAAGGTCAGATTTAGTGGTCCTTACCCACTCATTGTTGAAAACCTGCACCCTTGCCTGTCCTCCTAGACCACCAAGAGGACCGAGAAAAATCAGATCTAGTGGCCCTTATTGACACATTTTCAAATACCTGTTAGAGTCCTGAGTATTCTCCTGTTAGTATTGGGACTTGACCCCTGTCCTATAAAGATGTTATACCCCGAAAATGAAATGAATGGCCATGCCCTGAGGGAGAGAAGGGACCTCCAGGGTTGGAAGAGTGATGCCTTTTGTCCTCACTTGAATAGGAAGGATATAATTTCTGAGGCTCCCCATATCCTAGCTTCAGGAATAGCTTTGTTAGGCCTGTTAGTCTGAGGAGGGATCCTAAAATTCCAGATAGTCCCCCCTACCATGGGGCTTTGGGCAAAAATTATGTCTTTCTGATTGGTGATCCTGGGTGCCTTAAGAAGGGAATAGAGTCCTGGAGTTTATACAGAAATCATTCTTAGCAGAGAAACTAGAAAAGCACCAGAGACAGGGGGTGGTTTTTGGAATGGGGACTAGCCTCGGAGAAGAGGTGAGAGGAAATTTGTCTGACAAGCATTACGACCCAGGAGGCAAGGGTCAGGATAGACAGGATAGATGGGCAAGTCTCTCTAGGGCGACATGCCTTTGAGAGTTCTGCTCATGGCTGCAGGGTCAACCAACTTGTTGTCGGGACCTCAGAGCTGAATGGCTTTCCTCTCTGTCGACCCTTGGCTCAGCCCAGAAGTACAGGAAAAGTGGAAGCTGGTTCCAGGCAAACCAACACTCCCAACTCCAAAGAGTTGGGGGTTGTTAGAGAGCCCTTTCTCAGAAAGCCTGACACCCGTGTCTTTTGTCCAGCAGCTGCACTCATCACTTTTAACTGGCTGACAGGTGCCCGGTATTTAGCCCTCAAATTCTAAGGAAAAATATGACAGAATAGCAAGCAAAAGGGGTCCAATGGTGCTGACTGCTTGGCAATTGTCCCTTCATGGTCACCAAAATGTGTCTGGAATTGGTTCCTTCCGGTGGGTTCTTGGTCTCATTGACTTCAAGAATGAAGCCTTGGACCCTTGCGGTGAGTGTTACAGTTCTTAAAGATGGTATGTCCGGAGTTTGTTCCTTCAGATGTTCAGATGTGTCTGGAGTTTCTTCCTTCAGGTGGGTTTGTGGTCTCACTGACTTCAGGAGTGAAGCCGCAGACCTTCGTGGTGAGTGTTACAGCTCTTAAAGGTAGTGCGTGCTGGACGCGGTGGCTCAAGCCTGTAATCCCAGCACTTTGGGAGGCCGAGACGGGTGGATCACGAGGTCAGGAGATCGAGACCATCCTGGCTAACACGGTGAAACCCCGTCTCTACTGAGAAATACAAAAAACTAGCCAGGTGAGGTGGCGGGTGCCTGTAGTCCCAGCTACTTGGGAGGCTGAGGCAGGAGAATGGCAGGAACCCAGGAGGCGGAGCTTGCAGTGAGCTGAGATCCGGCTACTGCACTCCAGCCTGGGCGACAGAGCGAGACTCTGCCTCAAAAAAAAAAAAAAAAAAAAAAATTGGTGGTGCGGACCCAAACTGTGAGCAGAAGCAAGATTTACTATGAAGAGCGAAAGAATAAAGCTTCCACAGTGTGGAAGGGGACTTGAGAGGGTTACTGCTGCTGGCTCAGGTGACTAGCTTTAATTCCCTTATTTGGCCCTACCCACATCCTGCTGATGCATCCATTTTACAGAGCGCCGATTGGTCCATTTTATAGAGTGCTGATTAGTCAATTTTACAGAGTGCTAATTGGTACATTTTTACAGAGTGCAGATTGGTGTGTTTACAATCCTTTAGCTAGACACAGAGCGCTGATTGGTGCATTTACAATCCTTTAGTTAGACACAAAAGTTCTCCAAGTTCCCACCTGAACCAGAAGCCCAGCTGGCTTCACCTCTCAATGTCTTCCCCAGTGCATTATTTCAGAAGGCACATTATTGCCCAGCATGGGTGATGTTGACATTGAGCACTTGAAGCAGCATCTACAAAGTTTTTCTGTAAAGTTACTATTTCTTCTTTTGTAATTAATAAGCAATTTCCTGTGAAAAACTATAAGTGCATAAATATACTCCTTCTTATCAATGTTTTACTGGATATCTTATTCGTTGATGATTTTCCAACTTCAACTACTATATGTATTAGTTTCCACTCAACTATAAAAAGAGCTTTTATTTTTGTGCCATTTATTTATTCATTATATCAATATGATTTCATAACTTCTTATTTCAATGAGTTATTAAAATTTGGTTATTTAATGTTTGAATTGTCCCAAATTTGTCTGTTGAAGTCTCTATACATTAAATTTTGTGTCCTTTTGACAGGTCCTTATATCTCTTTAGGCAGTTTTTTACTTTCTAGTGCTAAATTAAGTACCAGGTTCATCTTATGCTTTGCCAGCCACGTGCCTGTAACCACCTGTTACTCTTGGTTCATTTTCGTGTTGATGAATTGTATTTAGAAAACAAGTGTTGTATGCTCATTGCCATTGAAATAGCATTCTTTTTAGGTCTTTTTAGTAGACAGAGATAGAAGAAGATACATATGAACACACACATACACACACACATAGATTGTGTGTATCATGAGTCTGTAACAATGCCTCCAACTGCAATGCTACAATATATATTTAATGCTAGCACTTCAACTTCTGTATTTTAACTCCTCTTACCACATTAAGAAAAATGACTTTTATTATCATCAGTACATTTACTCATTTCCTCAAGCTTAGTATAATAAATGGTAGTTTTAGAAATGCTGACATATCTCATCAAAGAAAGTAAACTTACTAATTGAATACCCACTTTCATCATTTTAGGTAAAAATAATATAAAGTGAAATGAACAAATCTTAACAGTGCAATTCAGTGAATTTTGAATTGTGCCCTTACTTGGCTAACCCACACCTCATTCAATATACACAAATGTTTCATACCAGAAAGTTTCCTCATAACCCTTCTGATTTTTTAAATCATAGACTAATTTTGTGATATTATATAAATAGAATCACAAAGTATATGTAGTTTTATCTTCTCAGTTTCAGTGTAATACTTTTTGAATTATTTCTGGTATTGTTCTTATCAGTAATTTGTTCTTTTTTAACTGTATGAAACTATTAATAAATTACCAGATTCCAGCTTTAGTCTGAAACCAAATGAGAAAATATTGTATATGAATCAGCTATAGAAGAGGTGAAAGAGGGAAGTCAACTTGGCCATCAAAATTTTTGTCATCAGTGATTGGTACTATAGAGTTAACTTTTACTGAAATGAAGATAACAATGAGATGAACAGGCTGGAGCTCAGATGTGGGCACATATATTTTGAGATACTTGTTAGAAAAACAATTATAATAGTAGTGTTTCCAGAATTAGTGAGTTCTTGGTCTTGCTGACCTCAAGAATAAAGCTGTGGACCCTCACAATACATGTTACAGTTCTTAAAGACTGTGTGTCTGGTGTTTGTTCCTTCAGCTGTTCAGATGTGTCTGGAGTTTCTTCCTTCTGGTAGGTTTGTAGTCTTCCTTGCCTCAGGAGTGAAGCTGCAGACCTTCACAGTGAGTGTTACAGCTCATAAAGGTGTGTGGACCCAAAAACAGAGCACCACCGAGATTTATTGCAAAGAGCCAAAGAACAAAGCTTCCAAAGCCTGGAAGAGAACCGGAGTGGGTTACCGCTGATGGCACAGGTGGCCTGTTTTTATTCCCTTATCCGGCCCCACCCACATCCTGCTGATTGGCCCATTTTACAGAGAGCTGATTGGTCCATTTTGCAGACAGCTTATTGGTTCATTTCACAGAGAGCTGTTGGGTCCGTTTTACAGAGAGCTGATTGGTCCATTTTGACAGAGTGCTGATTGTTGCATTTAAAAATCTTTAGCTAGACACAGAGTGCTGATTGGTGCATTTACAGTCCTTTAGCTAGACGGAATAGTTCTCCAAGTACCCTCCCCTCCCAAAGCCCAGCTGGCTTCACCTCTCACTGGAACTCCTGTGGGACTTTGCAGTACATAACCTGGGCTCTCCCGCAACCCAGAGGGAGCTGTCCCAGACAACCAAGAGGAAAAGAGAGGAAGGGAGAAAGAGAGGGAGACCCGCCAGGGTGACCAGCAATCCCACAAAGAGGGAACTGTGGTCCACGCACAGAAATCAGCCTCCGATCAAGGTCAGCCGGTGCTGGTCGGCTATGCCAAGTGGAGGGCTTGCGGAGCCCATGCTTAGGCGGAACCCGCGTGGGCCGGTGAGCACCATGGGCAGCCCCAGCTCCCACCCGTGCCTTTCTCTTCACACTTCCCTGCAAGCAGAGGGAGCCGGCTCTGTCCTGGCCAGCCCCAGAGAGGGACCATCACAGTGCTGTGGCAGGCTGCAGGGCTCCTCCAGAGCGGTCTGAGTGCATGAAGAGGCCAAGGAGGTGCTGAGAAGGAGCGAGGGCTGCTAGCACGTTGTCAACTCTCAGTAGGGTATATTTTTATTTGTTTCAGAAGTTGAGAGAAATAAGAGCATGCTGGAGAAAAGGCTTCATTGTAGAACACCAAAGTTTGTATTGATCTTTTTAATTTTGCTGTTTTTTTTCCTGAGTTCTTATAATGAACACTTCACTTATTGTTTTCAGAATTTTATCATTCCTTATGTACACAACTGATATGAAGTACTCCATTAGCTTAATCCCATGTGTGTTTTAGATAATTGTTGTATTTTCTAATTTTAATTATTCTTTATTGTAGCATCATTAGTTATGTAAAGTGCAATGTTTTTAAAATTTGAAAATAGTTTTTGTCAAGTTATCTCTTGTTATTTTTAGTTTCTCTCACTATGATCAGAAAGACAGGATTCTATAATTTCAATTCTCTGATATTTATTGAAACTTACTTTATGACAAAGACCATGATTAATTTTTAGAAGTACTAAATAACTTCTTGCAAATAATTTGTATTATTCCACATTTGGGGAACCAGATTATAAATATATTGTGTACATTAAGTGAGCAGAGACCAGTAGTACTAGTAGAAAATGTTAAACTATATTAATTTCAGTCCCAAAGAAGAAAACATCAGCACTTTTACAAATGTGGTAGATAAAATCCTTTGGATTAGTAATAGAATTCTTGGAATTTTGAAAAGAAATATAGTTTCTCAGCTACAGGTTACATTCTTAACCTCTTTTGCAGCTATATATTGCCATGATAGCAATTTTAAACCGATGAGATATGAGAGGATGTGATATGTGAAACTTCCTTGATAGACTGCTGGCCCTAGATTTTCTCACAGCCAATCCTGTTGTCTGAGAAGGTGTTAATTGGAGGTAAACACTTTTGATGCAAAGATAGAAGTCACACACTCAGAATGCAACAAATTACCTAATTGACTCAGAGTCCACAATCTAGGTCTGTGAATTTATGGCTCAAGTCTAGGTATTAGGTAAGTCATGAAATTTCCACACTTGATTTTAATAAAATGCTCATCTATGTCAAAGATGTCTGGTGTGTCAAAACATTCTGATTATTGCCAGCCTTGCTGCCCATTTTGATGACTATGCTGACCTAATTTCTCATGGTTATATGAAGTCTGCAAACCTAGAATCCTATCATCTTACTAAAGTTTAAGAGCTCATTGCAATACCAATATCTTTATCTATAACTCTGGCTTCCAGAGAATAGCCAATATAGAGGTTTTCAAGGATGTTGGTACTTCCTACACAAACGTATTTACTCAAGGTATTGGTGGGGGAACTGTCCTCTGGATACTCCCAGGAGACATTGTTGAGGGATATGAAGCAGGACGTATATAATGAATTTACTCTTACACTCTTATCATTTAAAGCCTTTAGATTCCTTCCATTACAGTATAACAAGGACATGATGAAATCTCAACTTTATTTGATGCAGGTCATTTTTGATCCCAGGTTTCATTCAAACAAATGAATAACATGTTATAGTCAATTTCATATGCTCAAGATAACAGATTTGATATTGTTAATTGCCCAAATTTATTGTTCAGCATTTTTGCTAATTGTATTAATATCAGTAACATCAGTTATATGCAACATTTTTTTTTCATTCCTGATATAACATTCTTCCTTTTTTTTTTTTTTTTTTTTTTTTTGAGATGGAGTCTTGCTCCCATCATGCAGGCTGGAGTGCAATGCAGCGATCTTAGCTCACTGCAACCTGTGCCTCCCAGGTTCAAGCTATTCTCCTTCCTTAGCCTCCTGAGTAGCTAGGATTACAGGAGTGTGCCACCACACTCCTGTACACCACTTTTGTATTTTTAGTAGAGACAGGATTTTGCCATATTGGCCAGATTGTGATCCACCTGCCTTGGCCTCCCAAAGTGCTAGAATTACAGGCATGAGCCACCGCACCTGTTCATAACACTCTTAGAAATTATTCTCATTCATATTAGTCAGGTAATATAGCCAACAACATTATACCATTCTTCAGTGTACATGGGGCATCCTGTCAGTTTAGGCTGACAAAAGTAAGTCATCCTTTTGCAGTATGCTGGGATTTGAGTCTAAATATGAGTCTGAAAGCAGGAAAAAAGTTAAGGATATTGGAAATGAATATCGGCGTCTACCTAAAAGGCTACTCTATTAGGTGAAATCACCTCACAGATGTCAAGCAAGATTTAGCTAATCCTCTAAATGGGGAGGAATGGCTATTTCTATTGGCAAGGGAAGCTCAGAGGGAATTTCAAGGTCTTTTTACTCATTAGAATCCACCCAAACGTCTACATTGTAATTCAAGGTCTTAGTCTCTATCTTAATCAACATTGTACCTTCAATTTAAATGACCTGATGAGTCTGTGAATTAAATATACACAAGGAAATTTAGTCTTCTGTAGAATCAAACTTGTTCAAAGACCAGAACATTTAACTTTTTGCTTTAAGAAATTAGGAAATTTTCAGGGTAATCAAAAAAGTACTTCAGTTTTCCTCTCATGATTTAATCTGGGAATATAAAACTCTAAACTTACAATTTTTTTTTTCTCAAATTGTTCAGAGTTTAAGTGGTACAAATCTTAAACCAACAGGTCTTGTATACCTGTATTATTTATTCTCCTCCATATTTAACTAAAGGGCTAGGAGTTTTCCCATCACTTTGTCTTGTATAGGTACTTCATTCCGGACAATTAATAATTGAAGAAAATATTTTTCCGTGAATTCAATAAAACACCAGTGTCTAAATTGTATTTGTAATGAATTTATTACTGCATTCAAACTTCATTAGAACACAGAACCAGTGATAGGTTTGGGAAACTGAGCTTCTGTTTTCTGAACTACTTTTGATACATAATGCTAAGTTGGTTCAAATTTGATTACAAAAACAAGTATGAAGAGTTCTGGTATAAAGAATCAGAAGCTTACTATAATTGGATAAGTAAAGGCCAAAGAATGTCGCAGTTTGTTTTCTAGGACTCTGAAGGCACAACAATTCTCAAATAACTCTAGAAAATTCCCACGGTTTGTTACATTTTTTGCCATCAGATACACAGCACCATTCAATCTTTAGATGTTCTAGATACACGTCTTATTCTAGGTCATCACATTCACACACTTGTTTGAAATAGCTTCTAGAAAATAATGATCTCTTTTTATTCCACCTTCTAATTTCATTTGACTGTCTCTCATCGACAGACACTAATGTAAAACTATATACTGAAGGACACTTAGTCTGATTGTGGGAGTTCAATCAGGTCAGTGACAAAAATATTAAGGATAGCTATAGAAATAGCCACAAACCTTCTTGGAAGGCCAAGAAGTTTGCCTAGCTTTAGTAAGGGTTATGTCTGAAGGCAACCTGATCCTTAGCTTGAGTAAATAGCTTAAAGTGGGTACAAAGTAATGTGGGGAAGTTGTCTAGCTAACTTGTTTACTCATGTGGTGGTAAGACTAAACATTCCTCTACCCATGGTGCTTAACTGCTTTCTACTCAGGAAGTCCAAAATGTCAATTACCCTCTAGTGGTGTTTATTCATGACCTTTGTCAATTATCTTTGCTGAGTAAATGCTACTCTTGCTGGCAAGTTGAGGGTGTGGTCACAACTGTTTGTAGCACTTTGCTTGCTGTCTGTAAGTGGCCTGGACACTCAGCCGGACTGGCAAAGCAGAATATCTGTGTGTCTGTGTACTATATTCATCCATCATTTGGGTCAGGGTCTGCGAGCAGACCCCTGTATCTGATCATCTGGGTCTCCAGCTACCCATGTAGGGAAGAGCTTCTAAGTGCTGAACTGCCTCCCAAATTCTCTAATCTTATGTAGGAGAAAAATAAACTTCTTTCTTATTTAAATCACTATATTGCATTTCTTAATTATAACAACTTATTAGCATGTACTGCAACCAATACAAATGACATTTTAAAATCTATTTTTACACTTTTTAAAAAATATTTACTTTTCCTAAACTACTTGATGTTTTATAAATTCGACATATTCTTGGATTCAGTTAACTCCCTCTTGCTTTCCTGGCATGTCCAGATATGGATTTGGAAGAGAGAGGTAGGAATATAAGCCATATCCCTATCTTATTCTTGCACTTATTATTTTGGTTTTCTTGAACACCCTAAAGGTCCACTGGTGGGAATGTAAATCAATTCATTATTTCTGGTAATGAATTATACAATATGCATCAAGGACTTTAGAGTGTAGTATATATAAATACTAAGACTTAGGTGAAAAACACACAATGTATCTAAATTCAACATTATTTTAATTATAATAAATTTTAAAATCATTTGAAATCATTAGATAATGGTTAGTCATATTTTATAATAGTTCTTTAATTTAACGATTTGCTCTGTACTAAATTTTTTCTCCTCAAAATTCTTACGTTGAAGGTTTAACCTTCAATATGACTGTATTTGCAGATATTAGGTTAAATGAAGTCATAAGAGTGCAGTTCTAATATGATAAAAATTGATGTCTTTGTAAAAGAGGAAGAGACACCAGATAAATTTGTCTCCATGCATGCACAGAGGAAGGATTGTATGAGATCCAGGGAGAAGGCAGCCACCTGCAAACCAAGGAGAGAAGCCTCACCGGAAACCAATCCTTTCTGCATGTTGATCTGAGACTTCCATATTCCAGAACTGTGAAAGGATAAATGTACATTGTTTGAGTCAACCAGCCTGTAGGATATTGTTATGGTAGCCTGACCTCACTGATAGAACATTAAAATCAAGTTATAAAACAATATTTAATAACATGAGGTGAAAAGGAGAAAATAAAATTAGTATGTGTG